CTAGAAATATTTAGAAGAATCAAGGCTGGGTAGGTGATCCCAGATGTTCTCTGGCCGCAGAATGTGCACTCGATCTCGAGGTTTCAGTGATACTGATACTGGCATACTGGCATACGGGGCATCGGCAGTTCACCCTCCATGGTACTTGTACTGTAGCCATAGTAGAGGCCGAGGTGAACTTCTGACTAACGTCAGTGTCAAGGTAGAACCCAGCCCCGAATAGGTTTAGGGTTTCGGGTTTATGGCTTTTTAGGGTTTATGGCTTTTTAGGGTTTATGGTTTGGTTGGGGTTTAGGGTTTGTTGTTTGGTTAGGGTTTATGCTCACGTGTGGCTCTCCCTAAGGGTCCATGTACTCATATAGTATATACATTGGCCTTAATGTAGTCCCTATATAGGTACTTTCAGCCCCATGGTATAGTATATGAGTACATGGACCCTTAGGGTCTGTCTTGCAAGGACCTGGTGAAGCTGGATCACTGGGTAGTCTTGACGAGCACCTGCAGGACCTTCCCTGCTCCTCCGGCACGAAGGTATAGCAGAGCCGGTTCGCATCAGTCCTGCAATCCTCCGTGAACTATACCCTAAACCCTAAGCCCTAAACCCTAAACCCTAAGTAAGGACATGATTGACAATCCTTCTGCTGATTGTGTGTCCCAGCACCCGAAATCCTGAGCAATGGGGCTGCAGGGTCTCGTGGTGCTGGAGTTTCAGACAGCAAGGAACCCTTCTATGATGCTTGCTACCAGGACCCTTAACCAGGGTAGGCCTGATTGAAACGAGGTAGCCCTCATTTTCCGAAAGTTCCGTGAAGCTACTCGCAAGACTGGGCATGCGCAAGTACCGAGATGTTTCGAACAAGCTGACTCCAAACTGTGAAAACTGTTGCAAGACTCCTCACTAGCCAAGACTGCCCCCGTCTGAGCTACTGTCAGCAAGCATATAATTTCCGGAATTCGCAGCTGTATTCATGCAGATAGGGGGGCTCCCTGAATGTAAAGTCGCAACTTCCATATCCTTCCAGCCACCAAGAGCTATGAGCCGTGAGGATAGGCGCCAGTCGGGAAGACGAGGCCCCTGACGATCTGATCCTGGAAGAGGCCGCCAGAGCCTACAAGAAGCTCTGTTGGTGGTTTCAGACAAGGCTAAGTTCGAGGTTGGGGTAACCCTGAACCTACTTTGAGCCCGAAAGCCCTACAGCCTGGGACCCTTTCTCCCCCGACCCACGTGGCGCTTCGCTCACCTCCAGAGTCTTCCTGCGGCAGGGGGATCAGCTCCGCACGGTGGATCATGCCATCGCCAGGACTCGGGTTTTAGGGTTTAGGCTTTCGGGGCTTGCGTGAGCCCTGCACCGGAAGGCCTGAAACTGGTGACAGGTGAGTCGGAGGAACTGATAGGCATCTTGATTGCCCCTCTCAAGCCTGGCTTGTTCTTACCATTTCACACCCTCCGGCTTCAATACTAAGAGGACCTGCAAACACAGAGGACTTGCAAACATCTACAAGCACGATCGGCTTCTGTTCTGGTTTCCTCTCGTGTTTTCAAGTTTCCTGGCATTTCTATCCGATTCTCCGACTCTCCGTGCGCTGCCGCGAAGGATCTTTCGCGACGGCGATGTCCGCTGGCTCACGGTGCCTCCCGCATCCCAGGCCGGCTGCTGCCGTGGTGCAACCAGAAGGTCCAACACCTCGAAACTCCCGAACGTAGACGTAATGTAGGGGCCTAAACAATTGCCTATACTATTTGAGGGGTTCCTTGTCCTTATTATAATTATATAATAATATACCCCACAACCCTATTCTAATTATTCAGGCCCCTATATTACACCTACTTCCCAAGCCCTGCCGGGTTGCAGTGCTTTCCAAAGTGCGCAGGACAACAGAGAGCCTAGACTCCACAAATTGGTGCAAAGGTTCTTTGCGGGCCTTCTCAACTTCATCTAAGTCTAAGACATCCTCGTGGCTTTACTTTCAGTTGCACCACGACATGGATTCTCTGTTTCGGCCCAAGACCAGTACTACCTCAACTATGTCAGCCGAACCAAGAAGGACAGACACGGGACTCCAGATTAGATCCACACAGAACCCCCAAAAAGCCCATAATCAAGAGACGCTAAACCCTGAACCCTAAACCCCAGCGGCCCTAATCCCTACAAGAGATGCACGAGCCGACGTTGAGGTCTATCGCAACGGCGAATCCCTGCTTGGACCACAGGGCACCTTGAGGCGGATCCGTGTGTCAGCCGGTGTCTGAAACAGGATCTACCTTCTGTAATATAGAGGCACTAATAGTTTCAATAGGGTTTTGGGGCATATGATGTTATATAAATGTAATACGGAGCCCCCCCAAATAATGTAGAAATTTATTGAGGCCCCTATATTATCCCTTGTGTGTTCCGTTCTTTTGCCGAGAAGGCCATACTGCTTCCGGCGCCAGGTCTGGCTACGTGAAAATGGAGTCAGCAGAGGGGCCATTGTTGAGGCCGGCTGATAGCTTTCCCTAAGGATCCATGTACCCCTTTAGGGTTTAGGGATCAAGGTTTAGGGTTTAGGGTTTAGGGTTTAGAGTTTAAGCTTTAGGGTTTAGGGTTTAAGGTTTAGGGTCCATGCACCCAACTAGTAGATACTTTGGCCTTAAAGTCGTCCCTATTTGGGTACTTTGGGGCCAAAGTATCTACTATTTGGGTACATGGACCCTTTGGGTTTGGTATTGGAGTCTCAGTGTGGCAGGACCGAGTTGGTTTCGTTCTGGGTTTCAGTTTAGAGTTTAGGGTTCAGGGTTTAGGGGAGGCGGGTTCAGGCCGGGGAAAAGCAGAGCAGCTTTGAACTTGTTGCTGAATTGTCATGTATTTTTGCACCATCTCGGCTTTGTGCACGAACCGCGCGATCGCCAGCATGCTATTGATGGTTACATTGCTAGTATGCCGATGAGAGGGCTGCACGAGATCTTCAAGCAGACTTTCAACCATTCCCTATCTTGTGCAAAGTGTTACCAAGCCGGCAGAAGTGTGGCTCTGGAGAGGGATGGGGTCATCCATGACCAGCTAGCTGCTTCAAATGCCGCTCTGTGCTTCACGAACACTTGCAACCTAGTTCAAACAGCAAGCTCCACAAAATGCCGAGGCGGCACACTGCCGTTGACACCGGCGTCACCATTACCGAACCTCAGCAAAATTGGTACCTGAAGGCAGCAAGAGTTTGCGCGCTCTTGAGTCGTTTCTGTCTTTGATCATTTCGGCACGACCATTGATATGGAAGTTCTTAAAAGGAGCCCGAAGCCGGTTTGAGCTTCAGGCAGCATGAAGGAGTCTCGTCTCTTCGACCATTGCGCGGAACATGCAGTTGTGCAACTCAGGAACTGGCCTCCTACGGGGAGCCATGGGTAGTGGAGCACGATCAGGCCAGGAGCAAATCACATCCTCGAGACTCCCAAAGTATTCTGCGGTGCGCGGACGCCCTAGGATTCTTTAGATGGGTTCCTCACTTTAGGGATCTTGTGTAGCCGCATGCACAGCTGTCGCTGTCTTTTTTACGCTCCACTTCCTGCTTACCACCTGCAAACCCCTTGCAGAGTGCCTCCCGGATTAGCCCTGCATCCTCCAGCCTCCTTCGGACCCCAAATCTTAACAAAGCTTCAGCGCAACAGAGTCTCAAGCCCTACATTCTAGGGATTACAGGGCTCTGCAGAGTTGCTTAGAATTGGCTTTCTGAGGGGCTTTATATACCGTCTTCTTTCTGGTAACTATAGTTAGAAGTCGAATCTTACGCTAATGGCTTCATGGATCAGCTTTTGGGGCCTCGTGGGCATACTATGCAAAGCGGTTGCGCTATTCTGAGCCTTGACGGGTAGAATTCATTCGTTGTGTTTTGCGTAGAGCTTCCTTTGTGACCACCCTAAACCGTACTTGGATCCATTGGATCGATATGTAAGCCTGAACCCCCCTGTTTTGACACCACTCCCATCGAAGAATAAATGCGCCCCTGCAGTACATGTGCTTTGCAGGTGGTAGTTCGCCGGGGGCCCTCTACCTCGGAGCGACCGATGGGGATCATGATCAAGGTGGGCTTGGCTCTTTGAAGTTTGGGGCCCAGGGATCATACTCAAGCTGGGCAGCTATGGAAAGATGCTGATGCAGAAGCTTCAGAGATTAGATGGCAGTGGAGAGATTCGAGGGATCCCGCGACAGCATCATGTCGCTGCTGGTGCGACCGGATTTCAAGACGAAGCTGCTCCTAGTAGTCATGCACGACGTGAGACATTCCGCTGCCCTGTTCTCCACATCAGGATTCAGTACACCGTGCTGTAAAGCTGCTCTCCGAATGTTGGCTCAGCTCGCTGCCGAACTTAGAGGCTTTAGATATACCGCGAGTCTTTCACTCCTCGCGGCAGCTTGCCACTCGTCAGAAGATGACCTGGCTGTGGCAGCCCTTAACGGGGACCTTATTAGAGAACCCTACGTAGAACACCTTACTTAAGGTGATGCTTGCGTTTTCCGGGGTTCCTTCAAGTTTCCTCCGTATTGATCAGACTGCAAGTCATAGCGGCTGTATCTCATAGGGATCGAAAAAGCTGGCGACTGAGTTTGGCCAGAGCTGAGGCGACATGCCCTTCCTCGAGAAGGCGAGCTTTCGTGCGTGGCAGGACGATGGAAATTGGACACCTGTCAATGCTCAAGGCGCCTTTCGAGGCCATCGTTTGGGTCGATAATTTCATGCTGTGAGCTGTGCCTTCGTATTGTTTCTAATCATAGGGCCTAAAGTAGTTTCTTTATTGGGGTTCAAATATAGAATCCTAGAAGGTAACGCCGAAAAGGAACTACTACGGGGCCTATGGGTAATCATACAGACTGAGAGCACCACCAGAGCACGACATCCCAAAATGCTGGCAGGCTACCGGAACGATGGCTGGGGCCTCTTCTCCATGCTCGTAGGCTCCGGCTTCAAGAAGTATGTCATCGTGGGCCACGGGCCGCCGTTCATGGCTGTGGCTGAGCGACGACGAGGGAGACTTTCTCCGGTGCTTGGCCAAGCTTCAGCAACTCACTGCAGATGAGATCATGCAATCGAGCTCTTTGGAGTTGGTGGAGGCTCTGGAGGTGCTTGTGACGAAGACAAAGACCTTAGACTCAGACGGAATCGGGAGTGGCCAGGGGGCCGCAGTGGCAGAGGCTTCCCTGGCGTTCTCCCCTGAGATCTTGCAGAAGCTGACTCGGCTTGAGGTGGGCCTCGAGGCGAAGGAGCAGGAACTGCGAAGTCTCCGTGAAGACCTGGCGAACAGAGATGCCCAGCTCCAAGCCTTCAAGGACCAGCTGCAGGCCATGGCGCAGGAAGCCGTCCAAGAGGCGTTGCGCATGGCTGCGCCGAGCAGCGCGGATGTTCCAGCCGACATGAGCCCAGAGCAAGCTGTCACAGAGGTTGTCGCAAATCTTCCAGGAAGCTCTGATGAGATTTGCCGCGCTGTTCAGAATGACACTTCATCAGTCACGGCCATTGACCTCCATGTCGTCACGACTCCAGTGCTTCGGGATCTTTCCTCGGCGAGTCTTGATCATGAGGTCAGCAATGCATCGGTTGCCCCGGTGCCTCTGGATCCTCGACCGGGTAGTCCTTCGTTTGCATCGAGGCTGCTTGCTGCCAGCCCCTTCGCGGGCAGCGAGCTAGAAAGATACTGGCGTCTTGCCAAGGCCCCATACAATGCCGCCCGGCAGCATCATGTCGAGGAGGCGGGAGTTCTTTGGGAGATCGTCGCCGACAGACGCCCCAGGAACACCCGAGTCATCGGCCGTAGAGTGGCTCCTGGAGTTGTGGAGCTGGGCTTCCGGGGGACTGTGCTTGCCGATGCCAACGGCATCAGCAACTATGCAAATGTCTCTACGGACTTGGACACCGAGGCTGTGCCCCTGAACCCTCAGCTGGTGCCTGGCTCAGACCTCAGCGCCGTCCTGGTGCACAAAGGCTTCCAGGATGCCTATCTGACGGTGCAGGCTGATATTCTGCAGTGGCTTGAGAAGCTTGGAAGCCTTTCTTCACGACCCGAAATCCATCTTTCAGGGCACTCCTTGGGTGCAGTGTTGGCCACGCTGGCTGCCATGCATCTCCACTCAGTCGGCTGGCCTGTGGTGGCAGTGGTCACCTTTGGCAGCCCACCGCTGGGAAGTACAGAGCTAGGTAAACTCTATGCAGACATGGGCTTGGACAAGGAGACCCTACGAATCGCGAACCGAACGGATCCAATTCCTCGTTTGAAGGGGCTGCTGGGAAGATTCTGCGATTTTGAGCATGTAGTGCCAGCCGTGTGGCTTGGAAAGACTGTCACCGGCATTTGCGTGCCTACACCTTACAGCCACTCGATGGCCGACAACCCAGAATCGTATCTCAGCACATTGCAGGACGCTGTGGATGACCATGTGCAATCGGGACTGGCATTGAGAAGCTTGAGAGATGCAGATCCCTACCTTCCCTGGTTGTCGATGTTTTCGCCTCTCAAGGTTCCCGAGCAAAGTGCCCGGGTTGTGGCTGTGGAGGTGAGGCAGCAGCTGCAGGTGGACCTTGCCTTGCTGGCGAAAGGCATGGCAGAGGCGGCCCGGGAGCTGCGATCTTACATCGTACATGCCCACGAGTGGGAGCGGGCCCTTGACTTGGAGGCCATCGTCGATTTGGTTGTTCAGCACCAGGACATGCTGCCGATCTGGCAGGACGGCAAAATGCCCGAGTGGTTCATCCGCCTCCACACGGCCAAGCGCAAGGTGTACGAGGCCTGCGTGGTCGGGCTCCAGGACCAGTCTTCAAAGTTCTTCCCGCCATTTTTGATCCTCTTCCTTCGGGCTGGTCTGGTTTTGCTCAAGGCGATGCAGGCCTGCGGCGTGCCCTCATCCAACTGCCAGAAGGAGTTCGAGCGCTTCCGAGGGGAATCGGAGCATCTGGCTGGACGCCTCGACTGGCGCTCAGTGCTTGATGCCGTCTCACCGCATGAGTTTTTTTCACTGTTGGCGGAAGCAGCAGCGGAGGGTACTGACAGACTGCCGGTTGCAATAGTGCTACACAGAGAGCTTCGGCAGGCAGCACATTCACTCGATTTCGCCGTGAGCCTCGCGAAGGGAAAGACGACAACTTCGGAACAGCTGGCCTTGGATTTCACTATCTTGAAGCAAGAAGGAGACAGCGACGACGCCGAGCTGTGCAAGATTTCGGTGACAGAGGGTTACTTGGAAACCTCACTCTGCATAGAGCTGTTGGAAGCTCAGGCCGAGGAGACCATGTTGGAGCTGCAGGCTTCACGGTTGGTTCGCCTCACACTTAAGGATAAGAAAATCTAATGATTCTAATGACTACTGACTGAGCAAGCTTGGCTAGGCAGTTTGACTGCGCACGCGATGAAAGAGTCCTGGCAGGCTTTGGCTGGTCGACTGTACAAGAGCTCGACCTCCTTCAGTTTGGATTTTCGTGTCAACACCAAGTTCACGGATGCATCTCTGAAGGAGCTCGCTCGTCGATTGCCCCAGAGCCCGACCTCCTTTGCCGCGCACTTCCCGAATGGCGAGTTCACGGATGCATCTCTGAAGGAG